GGAAGGAGCAAACCCAAGAGCCGCAAGTGTCGTCCTCAGTGTGTCGTGCCACTCGCGGGGCGCCTGGCGGAGACCGTAGACTGGCCGCTGGAGGCTCCACTGGGTACCCTCAGGAAACGACCCAGTGAAGCCAGGTGGGCGGCGCAGCCAGATCTCCTCGTGAAGGCTGCCCTGCAAGAAAGCTGTGGAGAAGTCGAGGGAGTGCAGCTCGTATTCACGCTGTGATACCATGTCTGAATCCCAGCCACTGGACCATTGGGATAAAAGGGCTTGTTTGTGTAGCGGGTTTGTGCGCCCATAACCTGTCGAGAAACGCTAGTAGAAAGTTAGAAACAGAAAGAGGGGTTGCACTAGCAGCAGATAGGATACATATGGCAAACCCTAGTTTGGGCTGTACTCACTATAGAGTACCCCACTGCAGACTAGACAATTATAGCATTCTGACACACCCCCATAGGCAAAGTGGGGTATGATCAGCACAGCAAGCAGTCGCATAAGAAGTTCACAAGCACAAGCAAAGCTAGAGGCAGTCACAGAGGGCAAGTGAGGAGGAGGAGGGACTGTGAGAGGAGTGGAGATAGGAAGCGACGGGTGAAGCCGCAGACACACGGGCAACATGAGCGGCGCACACGGTGGCTACCGGAGCAAGGGCCCCGGACTACAGGAGTAACTGGCTCCGCGGCTAAGACGAGCGGCAGGAGCAACGGACCCACGGACGACTGGCGCAGCAGGCTCGCTGGGCTACCGAAGCAAGGGCCCCGGACTACTGGCGCTGCTGACGTCACGACGGCTACCTCCGGTCAACCTCCCCCAACTGTCCCACACCCCTTTCACACACCCCTTGCTGCACCCCTAGCTCCACTCCCACGACACCCCCCTAGCGCCACTCCCTCGGCTCCCACACACCCACCCCCCTCAGCGGCAGCTGCAGCAGTGGGAGACGGAGGAGGAGGAGGAGCAGGGGACGGCTCACACACCCGCCACCCCCATACCCGCCACCCCCATACCCAGGCGGCGCGGGGCAGTTACGTGGGCAGCAGCTGGGGCGCTGCGACGGGCGACGGGCAGGGCGGCGCGCTGGCCCCCAGGGCGCCGCGACGGGCGACGGGAGGGGGCGACGCGCGGGCCCCCAGGGCGCCGCGACGGGCGACGGGCAGGGCGGCGCGCGGGCCCCCGGGGCGCCGCGACGGGCGACGGGAGGGGGCGACGCGCGGGCCCCCAGGGCGCCGCGATGGGCGACGGGCAGGGCGGCGCGCGGGCCCCGGGGGCGCCGCGACGGGCGACGGGAGGGGGGCGGCACGCGGGCCCCCGGGACGCCGCGACGGGCGACGGGAGGGGACAGCGCGCGGGCCCCCGGGGCGCCGCGACGGACGACGGGAGGGGGGGACGGCGCGCGGGCCCCTGGGGTGCCGTGACGGGCGACGAAACCGCCGCGCGCGCCCGGGGCGCGCGGCGGGCAGGAAACCGCCACGCGCCCCGAGCGCGTGGCGGGCAGAAAACCGCCGCGCGCCCCGAGCGCGCTGCGGGAAGAAAAAACGCCGCGTGCGCCAGGCGCGCGGCAGGCAGAAAACGTCGCGCACCCCGGGCGCGCGACAGGCAGGACAGTAGCGGAAGCAGGTGGGCCCACAGGCCAGGAGCGTTCTCGCTCTGATAGCATGTCGAGAAACGCTAGTAGAAAGTTAGAAACAGAAAGAGGGGTTGCACTAGCAGCAGATAGGATACATATGGCGAACCCTAATTTGGGTTGTACTCACTATAGAGTACCCCACTGCAGACTAGATAATTATAGCATTCTGACATAACCCCCCAGGCGAACGCGCCTGTAACCCTCCCTAGGATCAATCGGGCATCCACAGTGCAGATCTAGTGACACCCCCCCACACTGGGAGGCCCAGGACTGAGCACAGCGGCAACGGCCTACATGTGCATACACCGGGATTCGAACCCGGGACCGCTCCAATACCATGTCAGAATAGGAACGTACGAATGATTGACTAGGTAGGAAGAGTGAGTACAAGTACTACCTAACCCTAAAGTGTTGTACCCTTTAGGGTATGCCCCACTACAGCCTACAGAGAACAAATACAATTTGACACTTAGAGCTTCTAGATCCCAATAGTAGTCAACAATTGACGTGACATATAATCGTGATAGCTTTGACGCATGTAGACTCGATGTCGCCCGGAGTTCACGTGGGTAGGGTAATCAGTCCTTCGTGCTTGCTGGTGCTGCACGATCTCGTAGTCCAGTGAATTATCGGGTTGTGCCGTCGCAGCCAATCGCGTCCCACGAGCACGTCACAGCCGTCCAGAGTTGACGCGAGAAACGTCATGCTGATGTCGAAATTGTCACAGCATTCAATCCACACCGTCCGTGTTTCCTCCAAAATCGCCAGAGGCGTCCCATCCACAAGGAGCGCGTCAATCTTAGGCATGCACAAGGAGTAATCCACATTTTTTGCTGTCGCAAAATTAAAGAGGCTATGGCTAGCCCCACCATCGATCGCAAGATTAAAGAGGCTAGGTGTAGCCCGACAAACCTTTTTTGTTTGTGTTTGTTTGTTTGTTTGCTTGTTTGCTTGTTTGTTGGTTTGTTTGTTTGTTTGTTTGTTTGTTTGTTTGTTTGTTTGTTTGTTTGTTTGTTTGTTTGTTTGTTTGTTTGTTTGTTTGTTTTTACAACCGTGCCAACAACCAGCACAGGGTGATCCACATGTTCACCCCCGTTAATTGTCCGAGTGCAATCGATTGCATGAATGGGAACCACTACTTGATGGGGATTGTGGTGTTCGGGCGAAAGAGCACAGTCAGTAAGGGGCCCATCTGTTACTGCCTTTTCCCATTTCCCGGCTCTTTCCCGTCGTTCCTCTTTCCGTGCGTCTTGTCGGAACAGTCGTTATACATGTGACCCGGCTTCCCGCACTTATAATACACCCCTGTAAAAGGGTGGTCTGGCGCATGGACTCTGTTGATCGTGACTTGTTGGGTCTGTCCACGAAACCGGTTTCCCTCCCGAGAACTCGATCTCGCCCGCCGCATCAACGCATCTGTAGACTGTGCCAATCGTACGGCTTTGATGAAGGTAGTCGGGCGGCTTCGGTGCACCTCGTACTGTATCTCGTATTTGAGGCTGCTGATGTGTTTGTCCAACCGCTCCGATTCCGCCATGTCGTCCACTTGGTCGGCGAGTGCCATAAATGACACCGTTTAGTCTTGAACAGATACCAACTGCAACCAGGCACGCAGCTTCATGCGAGCGTGTTTCGAGGCGGATACATGCTCGAAACGCTCTCGTAAGGCTGCGCCCCACTCCTTCCACGTGTGAATTGTGGTCACACCAAATATTGATGATGCCCTTCCGTTAGCAGAGTCCGAAGTCCCGTCTGCCGCATGTGTCACACTTGTCGCGGTCCCGTGTGTCCAAGGTTCGTTGCCACCAGTCCAGCGCTGGGCCTCGAAGAAGCGATATCGCGTAATTAATACGCGTGTCATTGTCGTTGAAGTTCGCTGCAGTGAAGAAGAATTCTACGCCAAAGAGTCACCCCTTAACTGTAGTATTCTTGTCCGTCGGGTTGAACGCGGGCGGGCTCGCGGGTATCGTTCGCTGGAAGGACAGCACCCCCACAGAGCACAGCTGGGTGCCCCTGGCCAACATTGAATACCACCCTGCCCTGCAAGTGTACCTGCGAAGCCGGGGATTCCGCGACATGCAGACACTCATGTTGTGGAGGGGCTTCTTGAGGGGAGGGGGGGGGGGGGTAGTGTAAGGAAGTTTTTGGCAATCCTTATTGCGCACCTCAATGTCGGGTACAAGACCAACCGTTCTTCGCCCGTTACGGTTAACAGAGCTTTCGCCGCCTTCGCACGCTGCATTTGCCAAACCATGCATCGCTGGCCTGGCCCGCGTCGGCCTACGTTTCGGGACTAGCCCGAATCTCTCTGCCAGCATCGCACTAGCTAGCTCGCACGCACCGCGTTATCGTTTACATGTTTCGCTTATGAGTATTCGCTCATGCCTTCGCTCATACTTTGTACTCGTTTGACAACTTATGCAATCTTAGCTACCTCGCTACATTGCACCCGTAACACTAACGAAAGCATGGTTTGACAAACGCTAGGGCCAACAGAACGGGAAGTTACGCTCGGTTTCCCCGGGTGAAGGCACGCTAGGGTTTCTGTGCCCTAGAGAAGAGAGGCAGGACACTCGTGGAACTGGTTCGTTGGAACTTGGACTCGACTGGCAGTGACACGGGCGGAGAACGACACTGGCAGTCGCTAAATTCCTCCGCTTCAAAGAGTACAGCGATTGTTTCCTCGGCTCAGTGTAGTGCGCCGCCGATTTACCCGGCCCCTCCCTGCAAATGGTGAGTGCCACTCGGCACTCACCACTCGGCCCGGGCCGAGTGGCGCGCGCCAGTCACTCTTTTCTGACTGGGTGCCCCAAAACGTGCCAGTCACTCTTTAGCCCTGCGCACGCAGCAGCCCTGCTGCCTTGCGCGTTCGCAGCAAGAATAAAAGATAGAATCTTAGCACCCCCAGTAGCCTATCATCTGCCGCATTTTCGCGTCCAGAGCTTGCTCGCAGAGCCTTATGGCCTTGACGAGCCAGAGCTTGCGCGCAGTACCCAACCGGTTGTCGACTTGCGCGTTCGCAACCTCGTTTCATCATATGTTTTTTTTTATGGGCATTGGCGACTCGCTGTCATTCTGCTCGGAGCAGTCATTCCGCCAGCGAGTCAAGGCTTCCACCCAATAATTCCTTTCACAGTCAAGCAAGAGCCACGCCTAGAATATTCACGACTAGCTGGCAGATCATATGCAGTATAAATTGGCAGAGAGTTCACGGCTGGGAAGAGAGCGCTAGTAGTAATAGTCAACGAACATAGTAAACGAACACTGTCTCCTAATCGCCGCCTAACTCCAATCGATACTTCCACTTCTAGTAGCCCGATATCACGAACAACCAATCATGGGTCGGCGAATCGCCAGTCGTGTAAATCACGCTATGATGCTTGCCGTCGCAGCAGTCGTCGTGGTCCTCTCCTCGATCCCGTTCGCTGCGGCGGGATCGCTTCTTGGCGGCTGGTCCGCCGTGAAAGGCGCGGCAAAAAGTAAGGAAGTGAAGGAAGTGGCCAGCTTCGCCGTCGACGCGTACAACAAGCAACAGGTACCTAGAGAATATATTTTTGCCGTTTTTGGCGAGCTTTGCCGTCGACGCATTCAACAAGAAAGAGGTACCGAGTCTTAAGACAGTCTGTCTTTTAAGGGTGCGTATCAGTCGGGCATGCGACGTCTTAGAATCAGAAGCCTCAGAAGAGACCATTCTTTTGAAGTGGATCATATATTTCTGAGGCGCCTCTGGGTGCTGCCGCCGCTGCCGTCACTCCGTCGCTCCCGTGACCAGCCTTGTGGCAGAGAGTCGATCACAAGTCGCCACAAGTCCCCTTGAAGCCGCAAGCCTCAAGTGACCGTGACAAACCTCAATTGCTTCTCTTCCTTCCCCACCCCACCCCACACCACCCCACCCCACCCCACCCCATCCCACCCCACCCCACCCTTCTAGGGCAAGAGCCTCAAGTTGGTCTCGGTCGTGAGTGCGAAGAGCCAGGTGGTCGCCGGCACCAACTGGAGCATCACTCTGAAAGCCGCCGTTGCCCCTGTAGCTCGCCCCTTGGGACGCCGCCGCGCCTCCCCACCCGCGACAAGCCTCGAATGATTCCCTTCCTTCCCAACCCCACCCCACCCCACCCCACCCATACCCACCCAGGGCAAGAGCCTCAAGTTGGTCTCGGTCGTGAGTGCGAAGAGCCAGGTGGTCGCCGGCACCAACTGGATCATCACTCTGAAAGCCGCCGCCGTTACCCCAGTAGCACGCCACTTGGGACGCCGCCGCGCCTCCCCACCCGTGACCACCTACGTGGCGGAGGTTTTTCAGAGCCTGTGGCCGGTGGGAGAAGACCCGACGGTTGCAGCACAGCCGGCGGACGCGGCACAGCCTGTGGGCAATGGGCAGCCAGCGGTGGGCAATGGGCAGCCGGTGGTGAGCAATGGGAAGCCGGCGGTGGGCAACGGGCAGCCGGTGGTGAGCAATGGGCAGCCGGTGGTGAGCAATGAACAACCTGTGGTGGATGGACAGTCAGGCGCGGCACAGTCGGTCATGAGCCGGCGGCACAAGACGGTGTTGGCGGATTATCTCAAGCTGGTCTCCTTTTCCAAGGAGAATTGATCGGCTTGAAGGACTGCGAGCTTTCCGAGCTGCCTTCCCTTGGCTAGGAGAGAGGGCAGGGCAGTCTTGAAGCGGTCAACGCAACAATGATAGTAGAAGATGCAACAATGATTGTAGAAGATGCAACAATGATTGTAGAAGATGCAACAATGATTGCAGAAGATGCAACAATGATTGTAGAAGATGCAACAATGATTGTAGATGATGCAACAATGATTGTAGAAGGTGCAACAATGATTGTAGAAGATGCAACAATGATTGTAGAGGATGCAACAATGATTGTAGAAGATGCGACAATGATTGTAGAAGATGCAACAATGACTGTAGAAGATGCAACAATGATTGTAGAAGATGCAACAATGATTGTAGAAGATGCAACAATGATTGTAGAAGATGCAACAATGATTGTACCGTAGAAGATGCAACAATGATTGTAGAAGATGCAACAATGATTGTAGAAGATGCAACAATGATTGTAGAAGATGCAACAATGACTGTAGAATATGCAACAATGATTGTAGAAGATGCAACAATGATTGTGATGCAACAATGATTGTAGAAGATGCAACAATGATTGTAGAAGGTCGTTCTGCTGCGGATGTGAACTTTTTCTTGTGTGGGCTGTGTGGTTGTGGTCTGGTCTGGATGTTGTTTCCTGTTTTCTATGTGGCATTGTGGGGTGTGTCGAGAGAACTGTGCAACAAGTATGAAACCCTAACTGGGGTTGTACTCTATACTGAGCACCTCACTGTAGCCTAGCAGAACTAATAACGTATAAATATGTTTTGACACACCCCCCTAGGCAAAGTGAGGGATAGCCAACACAACAAATGGTCACAAGACCAGTCAGGTAAGAGAACAAAGCAATGCAAGGACCAGGGTGGATCTCAAGATCACCACTCATTCTGAGCACAAGCAAGCGGCCACAAGGCCAGTTCACATGCAGAGTTATAATAGCAAGGCAGAGACAAGCAGGTGGGGCAGAGTGGACAGAAGCCCAAGAGCAGTGCAAAAACGCTGATGATCACCAGACCCGAGGGCCTTGGTGAAGACATCAGCACTGTTGGCCCGAGAGGCCACGTAGCTGACCCCGCTGCTGCAGCTCTCGAGCAAGAAAGTAGCGAAGAGCAATGTGCTTCGTTCTGTGCTTCAGTCTCTGCTCGTGACACAAGGCAAGCATGGCCCTGTTGTCGACGTACAGAACTGGAGGAGAACGAGGCCGCTCCCCCAAGTCGGTCAGCAGGTAGGTCAGCCAGCGTAGCTCCTGTGCAGCCATAGCCCCAGCGTAGATCGGCCTCACAGCTGGAACCAAGCACAGAAGACGAACGAGTGGACCTCCACGAGACATAACCAGAGTTAAGACTGAAGGTGTAACCCTGTGACGAACGCTGAGTCGCCTGGTCGTCGGCCCAAGAAGCGTCGGAGTGTCCTGTGAGTACCACTGAACCCCGTCCTCCAAGCACGAGCCCCATGCCCGATGTACTGCACAAGTAACGCAGTACCCTCTTAGCAGCATCCCAGTGCACCTTTCGGTGTCTACCGGGAGCCACGTAGCGAGCCAGGAGGCTGAGAGGGTATGCGAGGTCAGGTCGTGTGCACGTCATCAGATACATGAGGCAAGCCACAAGCTCTGGATACGGACCACTCGTACGGAATCGTCCGAAGGTGGAGCTGAGAGCAAGTGACCGGTAGGCAGAGGAGTGGGCTGTGGCGAGGAGTACTGGAAGCCGAAGCGCTAAAGGACCTGGTGCACCATGTGTGACTGAGTCAGGGTGATGGTGCGCCATGCTCTGTCCCGGGTGATTTGCAAGCCAAGATAGCTCCGCAGCTCACCCAGGTCAGTCCATGTGTATCTCTCCTGCAGCTCCGCCTTCACTAGGGCCCGCGCCTCAGTGTCAGCAGTAGCAAAAACCAAGTCGTCGACGTACACGAGAACGTAGAACGGTGGCAGAGAAAGTGTCGGTGCGTAGAAACAGCGACGGGTCAGCAGAGGAAGGAGCAAACCCAAGAGCCGCAAGTGTCGTCCTCAGTGTGTCGTGCCACTCGCGGGGCGCCTGTCGGAGACCGTAGACTGGCCGCCGGAGGCTCGACTGGGTACCCGCAGGAAACGACCCAGTGAAGCCAGGTGGGCGGCGTAGCCAGATCTCCTCGTGCAGGCTGCCCTGCAAGAAAGCTGTGGAGAAGTCGAGGGAGTGCAGCTCGTAGTCACGCTGTGCTACAACGTGCAGCAACACCCGAAGAGTAGTCATCTTCGGGGTGGGGGAGAAGGTCTGGAAGAAGTCGACCCCCTGTCGCTGACTGAAGCCTCGTGCAACGTAACGCGCCTTGAAGGCAGGCGGAGAACCCGGCGGCCGCTTCACTCTGAAAATCCACATGACATCGACTATGTTCGCCCCAGGAGGAGGAACCTCGTCGACGTAGGTGCCTGTGGACTTCCAGGAAGCCATCTCTGCGTCCATGGCTGTCTGCCACTGAGAGGAGTAGGGACCCTCTATCGCCTCAGCGTAAGAGCGCGGGGTAGGGATGCCAGGTGCATCCGGGTCTCCCTCAGGGCAAAGCAGCATGGATGCGAAACGAGGTAAAGCGGCCGCAAGACACTCAAGCTCAAACTGCCTGTCCTCAAGGACGTCACTGCCAAGGGCAGGCTCACCCCCGACAGATGGAGGATAGACAGACTCACACTCAGTAACAAGACTCGCGACGTAGTCGAGACGACTCCTAGTAGCAAAGTCGACTAGCTCAGTGACTAGAGCAAACGCAGCAGTAGACTCAAAGTCAGGGTCAGTGGCGACAGTAGGAAGGACACGAGTGACAGTAGGACTGGCAGCACGAGCAAGGTCGGACTCAGGGTCAGGAACGTCAGGAAGAGAGGACGTCGGAGGAGACGGCAGGGCAACACGCTGTGGAACAGAGGAAGGACGAAGTGCCATAACGTGAGTGCCTGGGACAGCAGGAGGATGAGGACGGGCGACACGACGAGCACGAATAGGTGTGGAAGCACGAGTCTCAGGCTCACGACGCTCAGTCAGGGACTCAGTCACCTCAGTGTGAGGAGCAGGAGCAGGCAGCGGGGAGCCAGGCAGTAGCTGTGGCTGAGACTGGTCTGTCGGTGGACACAGGAGAGGTGGAGTGAGGTCAGTGGAGGACGGGAGACTAAGAACCTGGCGAAGGACCGAGTCAGGCGGCGGCAGGGACGACTGCGGCTGCGGGGAGAAAAACGGTCGGCGCGGGGCAGTACCCGTACCGTCAGCAGCCCCAGCACCTCCAGTACCTCCAGCTCCAGCACCTCTAGCACCAGCAGCACCAGCACCTCCAGTACCTCCAGCTCCAGCGCCTCCAGCACCAGCAGTACCTCCAGCACCTCCAGCGCCAGCAGCACCAGCACCTCCAGTAGCACCTCCAGCACCTCCAGCACCAGCAGCACCACTAGCTCCGGCAGCTCCAGCACCTCTAGTACGAGCACCTCCAGGACCAGCAGCTCCAGCACCTCCAGTACCTCCAGTGCCTCCAGCTCCAGCGCCTCCAGCACCAGCAGCACCTCCAGCACCTCCAGCACCAGCAATACCAGCACCTCCAGTGCCAGCAGCTCCAGCACCTCCAGCACCAGCAGCACCAACACCTCCAGTACCTCCAGCTCCAGCACCTCCAGTGCCAGCAGAACCTCAAGCACCTCCAGCACCAGCAGCACCAGCACCCCCAGTGCCAGCAGCTCCAGCACCTCCAGCTCCAGCAGCACCAGCACCTCCAGCTCCGGCAGCTCCAGCACCCCCAGCACCTCCAGTACTTGCAGCTCGAGGAGCTGAAAAACTCCAAGTTCCAGCACCAGAGCGGCCTCGCCGAACGACCCACTCACGAAGCTGCTGCGGCGAGGGCGTCTCGAGTCGACTAGGCGGCTGCTGCTGTCCAACGCCAGGACCTGCAGCAGGAGCACCCACGGCCCCACCACCACTAGGAATCGCAACACCCCCAGAGTCAGCACCCCCAGAGTCAGCACCCCCAGAACCCTCACCCCCAGTCTCAGCACCCCCAGTCTCAGCACCCCCAGGACCAGCACCCCCTGCGTCCTCACCACCAGTGTCACCACCCCCAGCAGCACCAGTGTCCACAACTACAGGCTGCAGAGGCGGCGAAGACGGTCGAGGCGGAAAACCAGGAGGGGTCTCCAAGCGTGGAGAGCGACGAGTGGTCGCTGTGTCGTCAGCAGCGGGGTCACCCCCCTCAGCTGGGCCAGAGGTGTCAGAGGAGATCACCAAAGGCTCAACCAAGGGGGGTGGGTCTACCTGAGACACACCTGAGGGAACAGGACCCTGTGGGGGGAGGGGGTCTACCGGAGGGGGAACTGGTACTAGGAAGAGAGGCGACAGGGGGACCGGGTGGGACGCGTGCGGATGGAGCCTGTAGAAACAGACAGACTCGTCAAAGGTGACGTCCTGGGAGGACAGGACTCGACGCGAGCGAGGGTGATAAAACTGCCACGGCGGGGCGTCGGTGGGGAAGCCCAGGAAGGCGCAGCGGAGAGTGCGAGGAGAGAGCTTGCTCGCGGTGGTATCGCGAACAAGGGAGAGCGCGCCCCAGACCCGAAACGCCGACGCATCGCCAACCTCTCCCGCCCAACGGAGTGTGGGCGAGGTCTCTGGCAAAGAGACACGGGGCCAGAGGTTGAGCTGATGCGCGGCATATCGGACCGCAGACGGCCACAGAAAATGGGGAGTAGCCGCATGGATCATGGACGTACGAGCAACCTCCATGAACAAGCCAATGCGACGCTCAGCAATCCCATTTTGCTGCGGAGAGGCCGGAAGCGTGAACGACTGGAGGATGCCCTCGTCTTGACAGAACTCCGCAAAGAGGCCAGAAGAGAACGCACCGCCCCTGTCAGAGTGCAGACGCAGGACTGGCAATGTCAAATGTTATATGGGTTACATTAGTGTAGGCTACAGTGGGTTAGCCTATAGGGGGTTCACAACTCTAGGGTTGCATATTTGTACTCTCACTTGTTT